GAATTCTCGCAGTACCACAGCTTTGATCAGTTGGTGGAACATAAAGCACAAGAGCAGTTAAAGCGAACTAATAAACACGAGAAGTATGTGCCCAAGACCATGCAGCTGCTGAGTACTGAGTCCTGAAGCAGGCACAAGCCATGTGCTTTCCAGCTGAACTTAATGCATTAAAGGGTAACAAACCCTTACTTTCCAACAGTAGATTATTAGCCCTAGCTCCTGAGCTTGACCAGTCTCCTGGACTTATAAGAGTCGGTGGTTGTCTGAGACATAGTGAACTGCTTAAGCCAGATACTGTATACACAATTGCACTTGAACCCAAACACCCACTCAGTCAACTCCTGATTCAGCATTATGATGAAAAACTCCATCATCCTGGCCCAGAAAGAGTGTTTGCGGAGTTACGCAGAAAATACTGGATTGAACAGAAAGAAATCAACTGTTGAATCGACTGAAGAAAGATGGATTCTGTTAAACTGGAGAGTGAAGATGTGAAGACTGAAGAAGAGGTGCTTACAGTGAGAAAAGAAGAGTCTGAGGAACAGACAGGTCGGTTTATTAAAGCTCAGTTCATCTGTGTGTTCACTAAACATCTTCAGCTAAAAGTAGCTAAAACTGGTTTTACATTCGCACATTTAGACTTTCTCATTAATAATATCACCTCAGAAAATGATTCTGTGCTAATTCTGACTAGTGAAATTATATACTGAGTTAAAGTTGCTTTTATAATTGTTTGTTTTGGTACTGTGACAACTAATGACAGGCTACTGTAAATACTGGCTCTGAAATGGCGCGTAAGGTTGACTTCAACATAACATTAGCACTGTTTAATTGACTGTTAATATTGTATATTGATGGTCATTATATAATAATATAATATTATTTTACTATTTTAAATTAGCACAGAATCATTTTCTGAAGAGATATTATTAAGGAGAAAGTCTGAATGTGTGAATATAAGACCAACTTTACCTCAGTAAATCACATTATCAGCCAACGACTATCAATTGTGCAGTTGTTGTTGTTTTAATATTTAAGTTATAATGAGTTACTCTGACAGTAAAGGGTTAAATGCAGTGTTGTTTAAGGATCGTTGGCTTGTTGTTTTTCCAGCAGCTTTTCTTCCTGTTCAACTGGAAGGTCTGCTTCTGACACCTCACATATTTCACAGTTAATATATGATATATACTTTGTTGAGTGACATTATATATATTAACAAAGATATTGAGTTAGTACTAAAAATGTTTGCTGACAGTGAAGGGTCAGATGTCATCTGTGTAGTGAAAGTCAGCGTTTTAATAATAAAAATAAATGAACACAACCAAGCCTTAAAAAACACTCTGAACCACCTCTTAAAGAAACCTGTTTTCAGCAGCTTTTCTTCCTGTTCAACTGGAAGGTCTGCTTTAACTTTACTGTTGATTTGGTGACTCTGAATGTTTAGAGTTATATTTAATGCTGAATTATTGGACACTATTGAGTCAGTCTGATATAGAAGAGCACAAACACTTTAAAGGGATTAAAAATAAAGCTTTTAGACACAGTGTTTAAATGAGCGTGTTTGACTCAGTGTTTAATCTGTGTTTGAGGATTTGATCTTCAGGATCAGACATTTAAATCACACTCACACATATAAACCCTTCATCAACTCCACAAATCAGCGTAATGTAGAAGTGTTAAACTCACATGCAGAAGTACAGACGCTCTTGTGCAGCAGGAACACAATCTGAGCTCTTTCACTCTTTCACTTCACTAAAACACACCTGTGTGATCTACAGGTAGATCCTCAAATATTATTGGCTCCACAGAGTGACACTGACATGAATATTTATGAGACTCTCCTGGCTGTGGGCGTGTCCTGAAGACGACACACAAACCACTGGAGCTGAAGATATCTGTGCAGATTCTCTGAGCACGAGTGTGTTGAAGGAGGATTTAGAGAAGGTATTTAAGATGAAATCTGAGAGGACTCTGAAGAATATTTAGAGTAATGTTGAACCTATAAAATAAGATTAGAGATTTCTATATAAATGAGTACACCTCATACAGATCTCTCTGCTGTATTATTATTATTTTCTATAGGATGCTGTTCAATAATATTTAATAAGTGTGTTTATACAATAGATTAGTCAGTACCAAAGGCAAAACTGAACTAACTGAACAAAATAACTGAAGATCACAGTGAAGAGAAACAGCACACACAAATGAATAATGTTTAACCAGAGGACAAATCAAGAAAACCATTAAACAGCAT